ACGGGAAAGATATTTGCAAATGACATGGAGGTTAAGGGTTAGCATCCAAAATCTATAAGGAACTTATCAAACTCAACACCCCAAAAACATACTTCTTTGGGTGAAGAAATGGGCAGAAGACGTGAATAGACACTTCTCCAAAGAAGACATCCGGATGGCCAACAGGCACACAAAAGGATGCTCAACGTCGCTCCTCATCAGGGAAATACAAATCAAAACCACACCCCGGTATCACCTCACGCCAGTCAGAGTGGCCAAAATGAACAAATCAGGAGACTATAGATGCTGGAGAGGATGTGGAGAAACGGGAACCCTCTTGCACGGTTGGTGGGAATGCAAACTGGTGCAGCCGCTGTGGAAAACAGTGTGGAGGTTCCTCAAAAAATTAAAAATAGAGCTACCCTAAGACCCAGCAATAGCACTGCTAGGAATTTACCCAAAGGATACAGGAGAACTGATGCATAGGGGCACTTGTACCCCAATATTTATAGCAGCACTCTCAACAATAGCCCAATTATGGAAAGAGCCTAAATGTCTATCAACTGATGAATGGATAAAGAAGATGTGGTTTATATACAGAATACTACTTGGCAATAAGAAAGAAGGAAATCATGCCATTTGCAGCAACGTGGATGGAACTGGAGGGCATTACGCTAAGTGAAATAAGTCAGGCAGAGAAAGGTACCGAATGTTTTCACTCGTATGAGTGAAACTTGAGAAACTGAACAGAAGACCATGGGGGAAGGGAAGGGGGAAAAATAGTTTCAGACAGACAGGGAGGGAGGCAAACCCTAAGAGACTCTTAAATACAGAGAACAAACTGAGGGTTGATGGGGGGAGGGGAAGTGGGGGATGGGCACCGAGGAGGGCACTTGTTGGGACGAGCGCTGGGTGTTGTCCGTAAGCGATGAATCACAGGAATCTGCTCCTGAAGCCAAGACTACCCTGTGCACACTGTACGTTAGCTCATTTGACAATAAATTACATTAAAAAAAACCAAACCTGTACGTAAACACTTAGAGCACCGTGACTCATAACAGCAAGAAAGTGGAAACAGCCCAAAGGTCCAGCTGACGGATGGATGGACAGTATGTGCAACAGCCATACGGGGGCCTATTACTCAAGCGTGGAATGCAATGAAATTCTGGTTCATGCCACGGCACGTCTGAGCCTCAAAAACGTGATGCCAAGGCAGACCTCAATACCAACGGCCACATACCGTCGGGTTCCATTTCTACGCAATTCCGTGTTTGAGGAGAGGTAAACGGTGGGTGACTGCTGACAGGTTAGGAGGTGTCTTTCCGGGGAGAAGAAAATGTTCTGGAACCACGTAGCTGCTCAACTTTGTGCATCTACAAGATATACAGAGACTGCTGAAGTATACACTTGAAGAGGGTGGATTGTCTGGTATGTGAATTATGTCCCGATTAAAAAAAAAAAAAACAAAACAAAACTTGGCAAGACCCACTTTACTTGGACAACGTCAATGGCAGCTCTGTGCTTCCTGAGATCACTGGAAACACACCAGTTCCTGTTCTGTGCCATAACCTCACTTAGGGATCTTTGGCTAATTAGCCCAAACTCAAGTGTGTGGGGGCCGTTTGCATCCACTTCTAGCCCACCAGGAGACTCCGAACTTAAAAAGCACAGGGAGGAGGGAGGCTGTGAAAAGCACAGAATGAGTCCACGGCACCCATGGACAGTACAGGTTGTATCAGTATCTGGAAAACAACCAAACAAAAAAAAAAAACCAACAGAGCGTGTGAAAACGAAGACAGGATTGCTTTAACAACAACAAAAAAAAAAAAACCAAACAAACTCCACAGAAGAGCTGACCAGAGGGATGGCAACAGCAGAAGAGAAACTGGTCTGGTGAGCTACTGATCGTGTTAGAGCCAAGGAAAGTTTCTAGAGCCCAGCAGGGACCAAGAAATAAGAACGGGGCCAGACAAGGTGAGACACGGGTCCAGCATCCGTCTAATGCAAGCTTTAGAAGGGGAATCAGAGAGAGAGAGAAACACTTGAGGGGCACCTGGGTGGCTCAGTCGGTTGAGCATCTGACTCTTGATTCCGGCTCCAGTCATGATCTCAGGGTTCGTGGGACCGAGCCCCACACTGGGCTCTGCGCTGACAACACAGGGCCTGCTTGGGATTCTCATTCTCTCTCTCTCTCTCTGCCCCTTCCCTGTTCATGCTCTGTCTCTCTCAAAATAAACAAACATTGAAAAAAAATTTGAAAAAATAAGTTGTGTGTATATATGTGTATATATACACATAAATATGTATATGTTTGAATATGTTTCCATGAATATTTTATATATCACATACAGACATTGATACATCATATTATGTATCACACGTACACACGCTAAACGTTTTATATTATATGCACACGCATGCACATACACCGTATATTCACACACATGTACAACAGATACTTACATAATTACACAAAATGTAAATCTATACACGTGTATATGCTGGACCAAATTCACCAACAAAATGCAAACCTGTAACCGAGCTCAAGGTGAAGAAGGGTTAATACACAAGTACCAGAACCAACAAGGGGAATACAACCCAGGGGAGAAAGCAGAGAGGCCCACGGAACGTGGAAGATTCCGTGGCGGATGGAGGCTGCAGGACCAGTGGCTGGAAACCACACCGTCACCCCGACAGCATGGCCCCAGCCCCTAGAAGGCGAGGCGCTAAAGTGAAGTCCCCGTAGGGCAGGGGTCCCTGAGGTCTGCTCCGTCCATGATGGGACTTCAAAGCAAACCCACTCCTTTGGAGGAACAACAAAGGCACCACCCCCGGACGGTGGGAGGCAGCCTTCTCCTGAAGTGCCCCCGGAGCCTCCCTCCTGAGGCCCTGAGCTCAGCCTCCTCCTGCACAGTCACAGTCACGGAGGCCGGGACCCCGCTCTTCCTTGGCCGTGAGCCCCTCCAAGCACTGTGCCCACACCCCGCCCCGGGGAAGCCCCTGTCGTGGCTGATAACGGTCGGTGAGTGGAAGGATTCCTCCGTCCTGCGGAGGAATCACACCATGAATCCCCAGGGGATGGGGACATGGCTGGTTTCCTCTTCCTCGCCTGCCCTGCCCCCTCCTGCTCGCCCTGGGGGGTGGGGGGGGCAGGCACTGCCTTAATGCACCTCTCCCCGGTGAGCAGGTGAGCGCCTATGGCTGTTTGCCAGAATGGGACCTGTCCCCGCACCACAACCACCTGTCGCTGAGAGCGCTTAGCCAACCACCGGCTCACTCGGTCCTCCCGACTTGTGTAGAAGCCTCACTCTGCCCACCGTGAACCTGCCCAGCCGTGAAGCCACGTTCAAGCCCAGACCACGCAGAGTGTAGCTTCGGGCCCTGTGTCCCTCTCTCTCCGCTTGCCTCCCTGTGCCTGCCCCTCTCCCTGCCTTTCCTCACCCCTCCCCGGCTCACACTGGGCTGAGTCACGCTCTCTGACTGCCAGCGGGCCGGCCTGGGAGAGGATGGCCAGATGGGTCATGACTAAGATCTGGGTTTGTCTTCACGGCTACAGAGAACCCGTGACCCCTTCTGGGCCCCTCCAGGGCTTGGGGCGAAGGAAAGAGCAGACAAATGCACGGCTGTGTCAAAGGGGAAGTCGTTTCTGAACTGGCCCGGGGGACCAGACTCGAGCAGTGGCCTGAGGGCCTTTCCTTGAAGCCTCTGGGTTTCCTGAACCTGACCACCTTGCAGAGGCCCCGGACACCGCCCAGCTGGGAACCAGGACACGAGGGATGTGAGCGCGATGCTGCCACCAACTTGGAGGGCCCTGGGCAAGACACCGCTTCCCCAGGCCTTGGGTTCTGCATCTGTGAAATGAACAGCCACCCCTGGCGTGTCCAGCACTGTGGCACGGGGACAGCACCGAGCCAAGGGGGAGGGGAAGGGGCTCAAGGAAAGTGGCTACAGACAAAGCACCAGCACCAACACGGCCGCTGGAGCAGCACACGTCCGGAGAGGGCGGCCTGGCCCAGACCATGACTGAGGAATGACGGGGCCAGGCCACCAGGAGGAGGGGAGGTGGGTGGAGGGCTGTGTGGGACGAGGGACAGAAAACAGCAGCCCCAGGATAACAGGTGCAGACGTGAGCACCGTGGACCCAGGTGGGTTCTCGATCTGTCTCGTTCCTGAGTGACCTCAATCAAATGCAGCCCCTCTATCGTTTTGGCCTTCAGCTAAGCTGCGTCCTCCACTTGTGTCTCCTAGCTTGGCCCCGTAGCTCCACTGCCAGGAACCCTTCCCTGCTCCCCTCTCCCGCCTCCCTCCCACCCCAGGCCCAGCAACCCTCAGCCCAAACCTCACCCCCTTACGTCCTGATTATACCCTGTCACCGTGTCACGGTCGGAGATCTCAGCCACGTCACCTTCACTCCTCCTACCAAACACGCATACACAGTAGGTGCTCAACAAAAAATCTGTTAGTGATGCAAAATGGCCAAACAGGCGGGATGCCTGAAGGGCCAGGCCTGCTCTGTTGATTAAGCTCCTGGTCAAGCCCTCCTCCACGAAAAGTCTCCTGGATGAATCCCCTTCCCCAGGCACTCAGCCCAAGGAAGTTACGATCCCCACGACCGCCCTGCCCGGTGCCTTCTTAAAGGCTCCCAGACTAACCAGCGGACCCCCAGCCCACTCCAAGGAACCTGGCCCCCGCCACCTGCCCCTCATAACCCATGCCCCCCGTGCTCATCCTAGGGACACAGGAAGTTCTGCCCGAGCATCTTGGAGCTGCTCTGCACAGACAGCCATGTGCAAGCACCCACGAGGGTCCCTGCAGGTCACAGAGCTCAGGGGGCACAGGTAGGGGGAGGGGAGGCATCTGGAGGGACAGAAGACTTTTTACAGAAGACCCGACTTCTGGCCCCGAGCTGTCCGCACCAGCACTCCCGCAGCACACGCGTGCACACACCCCGGGGCCTCACCCTGGGGCCCCTCCGGTCTCCCCAAGGACCCCATCCGCTCACACACACCCCGGGGGCTCACCCTGGTGCCCCTCCAGTCTCCCCAAGGTCCCCATCTGCTCCGCCAGGTCGTTAGAACTCCACTGGCTCATCCCGATGAGGATGGAATTCTTCCCTTCGGCCATGTCCTCTGTGGGGGAAGCAGAGATGGGCGTGAGCGGACAGGCTGTGTTCAGGTGACCCTAGCCGTTGACGCAGACCTCGACTGCTGGACGTGTCTGTCCTCTGGACAGTACAACACATTCAGGAAGCTTCCGCCGCAAGCAGGCATCGCTGCTGTGCCCCACGGGGCCCCCCAGCTGCGGCTGAAAAAAGTAACCAGGGGACAGTGCTGGGAAAGGGTGCAAACCCACACAAGTTTCCGTTCCTGGCAACAAGGGTGGTGTTTCCTGAAAAGAAGGAAAAGAAAAACTTTGCCACTTGCCAGGAGTTTTTCTTTGGGTAAGTGACTTGACTCCTCTGAGCCTCAGTTTTCCCATCAGAAAAACGGGACTGGCAAGGTCCACCTCGAAGAGCTGCCATGAGAATTACGTGAGCTAAGGGGGATGACGGTCTCGGAGCACACGAGGTGCCCACAGATAAAGACATTATGGTTTCTCCTCTGCATGAGAATGGGTTGCCACAGGTATCTGGGGTTTGAATGGGGCAGAAGCAGGTCTGCAGTAACCGGGGCGTGGAATTCTGGCTCCAAACAAGCCTTGAGCTGTACAGAACCACTGACTCTCATCTCAACCTTATGAACCTAATGATACCCCCATCCTCCTCACGCCCCCCCCCCAACCCTGTCTCTATCCGTGCCCTTACCCAACCTGAGCTCAGCGATTACTCTGAAGAAGTCAGTGGGGCCATATTCCCAAACCACACCAAACACAAGCCCCTGGGTCCCACACGACAGCTGCACACACCTGGTTCAGTCCCTTGTCCCAAGGCGGGGCGTTCCCTCAAGAACAAACCCACAGGTGTGCCCTGCCCCCGCTTGCAAAGTGACAGGCCTTCCTGGCAAAGGATGCTGTGCCCTCTCTCATGGGGCAGGTACTAAAGGGTGGTGGCGAAAATCCTCAAGCTCGTGACAACTGAGAATAAAGGGACAGGACCCATTTCACTGCCAAAGATGGAACCAACTTGGCGAGCACGGGGAGCTGTCCAGAGTTCTGACCGCTCTGGAGCTCAGCACTTTTCTCCCCCACTTCTGGCTGGGACACCTCGGCCAGCCTCATGGACTCGCCTATTTGATTTATTTAACAACGCTGATGAAATGTTTCTTCTGCACTGAGATGGTCATAATGCCTTACAAATACCAACTCACCCCACTCTCATCACGATACTGAAAAGGTACAACCCTTATCATCGGCATTTTATAGACGAGAGATCTGAAACACGGAGTAGCTCAGTACCTTGCCCAAGGTCACCGGCGAGAGCCAGGACTGAAGCCCAGGTACACTATTTCAAGAGTCCTGCAATCCTGGTGGCCTGCCCTGGACGTCCTGGATCGGCCGCCCAGCCCCCCGCCCAGGATCCACACCTGCCCAGATGACTTCCCGAGCCCCAAGTGCTCCATTCTGGCACATGTCTACACCTCTAGGCAGCGCTGTGTTCTGGGCAGGCTCCTGGCTGGATTCCAGTCTAAACTCTGCCCCACGTGAGCCTGGGCCTTTGCACGTGCCCTCAACTCTTCCTGTCTTCTCATCTCTTCCTTGGGAGTAACAGCTCTGGCTCTGGAGCCCTTTCCAACAGGCCATCATGAGGGTGAAGGAGAGTACTGTGAATCTGTAAAATCTACGGGGGCCAAGGTGCCCACCCCCAGACACCGGCTTCTCTGCTCCCACCCCTAACGGAGAGACAGGGCCAGGCTCAGGAACACGCCTGTGCTCTGCTCCCGGGATGGCTCCATCTCCCAGTGCCCACAGCATCAACAGCCCACTCGTCCCGGGGACAACCAGCCCCACCCCGGCTGTGTGCAACACCAGGGGGCCCGGGCCCCAGAGACTCACCTGGGGCCACACGTTGGCCAGTCACTGGCCCAACCTCTGCCCCTGGCGGCCTGCACCTGTGTCTGCTACCTCCCTTCCAGGCGGAGGCTGTTTGCCCACAGGAAAAGCCCAGAGATGTGCCCCCTGCTCTCCAGGAGACCGGCCACGGTCTGTAAAATCAGTGCTTTATCCTGTTCCCTTCGCTGGGAGGTACCAGGGATTGGAGCACGCAGCCGGGTCTCCACAAGACCGAGGGCAGCTCTCCGCCCGGCCTCGCACCAGGAGGGGAGCAGGGTGTCCACCGGGCATGGGGACAGCAGAGCAGGGGACACGGGAGATGAGGCGGCAGGCAGAAACCTCCAATGTCCCGCCCGGGGAGGGCTCCGCTGGGCCCCTGGTTGGGCTCGGCTGCGACCTCGGGGACCAGGCCGCTTGTGCGGGTCCACGGCAACGAGCCGGCTCTTGTCTAGATGTTGGGAGAGGGGACCGAGAGAACAAGCAGAGGGAAGGGGCCTGGGCCTCAGCAGCGGGTGCCTCCTGCTCACTCACTCACTCCTCCGTGTTCCCTTATGCTAGAGGGGGGCAAATCCTTCACTTTGAACAGCGACGCTGAGCAGAACGGCGATCAACAAACCACTCGTATTCACAAGTACAACTTGAGGCAGGCGTCTCGGTGGTTTAGTGGGTTAAGCGTCCGACTTCAGCTCAGGTCATGATCTCACAGTTTGTGGGTTCAGGCCCCGCGTCGGGCTCTGTGCTGACAGCTCGGAGCCTGGAGCCTGCTAAGGATTCTGTGTCTCCCTCTCTCTCTGCTCCTCCCCAGCTCACGCTCTCTCTCTCTCTCTCTCTTTCTCAAATAAACATCAAAACTAATAATAAAAAAAATGCAAATACAACTTGGTAGGTACTGACAAACGGACACACCCCTGACACCATCTCCCAAGTTTCACCCCCTCCCTCCCCCTGCCCCCTCTCCCCTTCTCCCCTCCAGTTTCTGCTTTTCGCTGTCTGCTGGAGTCTGCTCCCTTGCCTTACTTACAGCTCGCCTGTCTCCCACCCCCACCGCTGACCGGTGGCTACGGAAGCACGGGGACAGCGCCCATCTGCCACACCCCCGCTGTGAGAGGCAGCATCCCCGAGGAGCTGAGATACTCACAGGTGAGTGGATTCTAGCCCCTGCTTGGCCTGACCTCGAGTAACCTTGGGTGACCCTGAGCAAGCCTCCCAACGCTCTGGCCTCAGTTTCCCAGCCCGGAGACGGTGGTGGTGGTGCCGAACTCCAAGACCTTGCGGGCCCCTCTGGGCCCCCCTGAGTCTTCCCTTGCTCTGCACCCCAGCCCTGGCAGACTGGGCCGTGGCCCCCAGATATCCTCTGACAGAAGGGAGGCACCTCTCCTGGGTCTGGGGACCTGGACCCCAACACCCACCCCGCGGCGCTCACCAGCCACGCGAGGCCCTGGGCCTGCCGCCGTGGCCCATGGAGCCGGCATTCTGCCCAGGGTGTCAGGGACCCAGACGGTCTCCTGCCCGAGTCCGGGACACTCACCGCCCGGACCTGGGGGCTGCGGACTGCCTGTTGGGCCTCGCCCAGCCCAGGGGACAGAGAAGGACAGCTTCACCTCTGACTGCCTGAGCCACGGAGACTCCAACGGCCTTGTCTCGGGGACAGCACAGAGCACACGGGGTGGGGAGGGCAACCGGGAGGAAGGGGGCCTCCGCAGCCTGTGGGGTGCAGGGCGGGGGCAGGACGTGCCCACAGCTGCTCAGGGGGCAAGCCGGTGAGCAGGCCCGCCCCCAGTGCCTCCTGCTGCCAGCCGTCCCGTCATCAGGGAAGCCGGCCCTGAGGAACTGCAAAATATTTTAAATAAAAGCGTTCTAAGCATCAAAATATTGACGTCACTGCTGTCACATTGTGCGCTAGTTGCTATGGAGAAGCAGTCCCGGCAGCCGCTCTGGCCAGACACCCCTGGGAGACAGCACACGGGTCCCACATGGGCCGAGTGTCGGTTGGCTTGGGGTCTGCCCAGCTGTGCCCTGTGCCTCCCTGAAAGGCACCTGAACTGGGCACTCCCCACTTTCGGAGGCACAGAGCTGACCCGGATACTAAGGCCCAGAGAAGGGCAATGGCGTGGCTGAGACCATGAGGCCACGTCCCCGGTGTCCTGCTGCAGGCCCAGATGTCTTCCCAGCACACGGTCTGTTTCTGCTTCGAGACCCCATCTCGCTAGGCATTTTACAGCTGGCTGTCCCAGGAGTGCGTCAGCCCCCCAGATACGGTGACTTCCCCGGTGGGGCCAAGCCGGCCAGGTGAGGACCGGGGCCCCTGGGTGGGGGAGGCAGCCAGGCGAGCGTGACCGTGGGGACCTTCTGTCCGCTGCCCTCTGGCGCCCACACCTGCCCTGCGTGCGCGCTCTCGCCCAGAGCCGGAAACGCGCACCCGCTTTGGCGCGCCCGTCCCCACTCCCTGCTTCCTGTTCTTCGTCCCCTTGACCACGCCCCTGCTGTCTGCCGGCCCCCTTGTACC